ACTAATAGAAGGTAGCTGTATCCTAACTATTTTGTATATACAAGTCTAGAATTTTTTTTTTTTTTTTTTGTGGAACCCGGGGGATTGAACTCAGGCCCTTGAGCTTGCCAGGCAAGCGTTTATTCTACTGAGCCATCTCCCCGGCCCCTCAGTGTCATTTCATAAGTTGAAACTCCTGCCTTTCTCAGAACACCAGAACACAAACAATTCAGCCGTTTTCTGTCGCATTATAGCAAGAATCGCTTTTCCTCAACTTCCCGATATCAGCTTTTCATTGGAAGCCCCACAAGAGTGGCCCTTTCCTCCACGTTCATTGCAACATCCTCCTCAGCTTTACTTAGGGATTATCTAAAAAGTTCCAGCTGCGTCCCCAGGGGCACTCTCTGGAGCACTTAGCAGAATCTCCTTTAAAAAACATACAGAATTTCACTGCACATATCTTTAAACTCTTCCAGCCCCTCTTCACTGTCCTGTTCCAAAACTGCTTTCGCACTTTTAGGTATTCCTTCCAGTCGTGTTCGACCCCCAGGGCCAATGTCTGGGCCGTTAGGCTGCTGACCCAAATACCAGGGATGTGCAGCTTCTAAACTCCTCCTATTTGATTGCACAACTCTGGCAGCCGGAAAGTGCCAGCTCAAGCGCCCGCTAACTTGGTGTCTGGTGAGGGCCTGCGTCCTGGCTGAAGGATCACTGTCTTCTTGCTGTGCCCTTGCATGGCGGAAAGGTGCGAGAATTCTCCGGTGTCTTCCAAGAACACTGCTTCTACTCAGGAATCAATCAGCTTCCAAAAGTCCCATCTCCTGAGAGCATCCCATTGGAGGTTCGACTGTCAGTGTGTGGGTCTGGGGATGTACACGGACATTCGGCCCATACTCTAACTCGGAAGTCGTCTGAAGACAGCTTACATCTTTCTCCAAGTCTTGGTTAGGACATCAAATGAGGGAAAGATAGTGGAAGGAAAAGCGGTAGAGACTGAGAGGAAGAAGAGATTTGGAGACGCCCAGATCTGAGTCCCAGACTCTTGTGGCTGCATGGCCGTGGATGACCTGGTGAGCTCTGAACTCTGCAAATTCAACCATAAATGCCCACCTGCTTCACTCCTGTTGAGATCGAGATGGGGCTGCATAGAGCAGGCTCCTTGGCCTCCTTGCTCCCAGCTTGGGAGACTTCCTCTGTGCTTAGCTGGGAGATGAGCTGGAGTGAGAGACAGACAACCCTCCAAGAGCCGCCTCCCTTGTCCATGGTTTGGCTGTGCCCAGTGGGAAGAGGGAATTGGATTAGAATCAGTGGGCAGAGGACAAATAGAAGTTAGAAAAAGCACATCCAGCTAGTGATTAGAAAACGCTGTCGGATTAAGGACACGTGGTCCACATCTTCACGTGCATTTTTAAAATTAATTTCCTTTCCGTGTTGAACACTTGCTGTGTGCTAAGTACACACTATAGCAGAATACAAAGACATAAAGAGATCGTGAGATAGCTGGAGAGGCAGTGACAAAGTCTTCAAAAGCCAAACAACAATGCAGAACCGTAAGCACTTGTACATAACAGGTACAAATAAAAGAGCCGTGAATTCTGTGGTTTGCCTGTTTGTGTTTGGCAAGTAAGAGACATTGTATCACTAATCTGGAAATGAAGGCCAGGAGATGTTAAGTTTTTAATTTTTTTAAAACTGTAAGAGGCCATTCGGTGATAACAGTGTGCTCACAATCTGTTCTTGAACCTTAAAGTGAATGGTATTGGAAATACTCAATAAAGGAAAAATATGTGTCAGGAAATTGTATCCAAAAAAGCTTTTAAAATAGAACAGCAGCACGATGGCCAAACACTGCCAGAAAAAGAAATGTGTAGAGTGACCATTGTAGAAACAAGACTGCTACAACGGATAGTTGAGCAGGCCCAGGTATATACTAGGTTGAATAGCGTCAACCGACAACCCATGTCCTTCCTAGAACTTCAGGATCTGATCTTAAAATGGTGGCTACAGATAAATTAGTTGGGATGAGGTTATACTGGAGTAGGGAGAGCCCTTATCCAATATGACTCTTGTCTCTGTAAGACAAGCGCAAGGAGAGAGACATGCGCGGAGCAAATGCCACAGAGAGACCCAGAAGCCCGGGAGGTGCTGTGTGATGACAGAGGGAGAGACGGATGAGCCAAAGAATAAAGGCTGAGGAAAGCACCTGGAGTGACTTTCCCCTAAAGCTCTCAGGGAGCATATGGGCCCAGCTAACACCTTCACCTTGGACTTTGTACCCTCAGGACTGAGACAATGAATTCCTGCTGTTCGAAGCTATCCAGCCTGTTACTACTCCATTACAGAAACCCTAAGAAATTCCTCTGGAAGTGTCCTGTCTCTGTAGACCTCCTAGTGTCTGCTGAAGGGCGGTCCCACGACTTTCTAGACATCTCTGACTCTGGGACCAGTCCTCTCGCTGACTCTACTTCTGCGCTGACTCCCTGAGATTTCCAGCCCACCTCCAAAGGTGTCATTTTCCAACCAGCCCAGAAGGCTGGTAGGTGAATGTGGACTCATGCATAAGTGCCTGAAAGAGGTGGGTTGGTGGCAGGCGTACATCTATGAGGCATTCACTGGAGACTGAGTCACTTTCCACAGCTAGTTTTCTGGGCACAACCTTGGGGATACAGCTGCCACCAGCACCACCCCTACAGAGCCCTGAATCCTTGGCTGGCAAAGAGCAGAAAGTCATGTCCATCCCAGGCCACCGTAGGACCCTGGCAGAAAGAGAAAATGCTCTGTGGCTCGCTGGGTCTTAATTTGCCACTAGCTTTAACCCCTGGGGAATTTCTCCATAAATAGTATTGTTGGCTCCCTGGAAAAACCATTGAGTTTGACTAGTTCTGTAGCTCCCATTTAAGAGAATCCAGGAACTGTCTTCATATTTTGTTATGAAAGGCCCAGGACAGTAGTTTGGAAGAAATCCTTCATGGAATCCTCCATCATTTGACCTGACGAATTTCGCCTACCTCAGTGAACCTAATGAGCCATGGACGGACATGCAAAGCTGGACAAGCGCCTCCTGACCTATTAGTATGGAGTATGTGACCTGTGGTGGCCATCGTTAGGCTGCGGGACACTGCTGTTGCAGCTTACACCTGCTGGTGCAGAAGTGATTGGGCTGGGACAACTCAGGTCTAGAGCTGTGTCCAACACAGTAGCCAGCATCCACATGTCTATTTAAATATTTATTATTTAAAATTAACTACAATTTAAAATTGAGCTCATTCCTCATGCAGCCGCTTTTCAGGTACTCGATGGCGTGTGTGACCACGCTGCAGAACTCAGGTGCAGACTTTCTCCACCAGAGCAGAGGGCTCTTGGGGCCAGAGCTGGTGCAGAGTCATTTGCCTTCCAACACACAAGGTCTCTTTCCCTTTTTTACTAAATGTAGTTTTTCTAAGATAAATACTGAGACTAGTTCAACTAGATCATTAGTTGATCTAGTGGGTCATTACTTGATCTCTAATGGCAAGTGATGAGAGGCGATAGGATTTTACTCACTTGCTGTTAGAGATCGTAGAACACGTCTCTTAAGGCGGCTATGCACGGCCTAGGCATCTTCGGAGACTTCAGCAGGTCTGGGCGGAGGAAGGTCGTTCTGCTTCAGGTCATTACCAGGGAGGCAACATTTACATTAATACGGAGGCATCAGCCGCATATGACGTGTGAGTCTGAACCTTACTGCTGCACAGAGGGCCAGGGAAGGAAAGACATCAAATGGACTTCACGGAGAAAGACGGACCCGAGCTGAAGGCGACATTCTCGCGATCCAACACCAGAAGAGCAGGCCAAGAGTGGGGACTTCCCACCCCGCTTCTTTCATGTAAACAGGATATCGTGAAGCAAAGAAGATAGCCATGAGGCCCGGCCAAACTGAGGCCACGCTTTGGTCCTCCCTGGCCAGATCTGATTCCTGGTGCCATCACTTCCTGGCTCTGTGTCCTAGTGCAAGTTAGCACTAGGTCTCTGAAAAATGGAATAATGCTCATGTGTTTGTCTTCACAGAGCAGTTGGAAGGACTCAGTGCATTACATCTGCACGAGCAGATACAGACTGCTCGGAGTACTGGCTGGCGTATCGTAAGCGTTGTATGTGAGGCTTATATCAATAAATAATGCCGTGTTCTGCTTCTAAACAAATTTATGTGGTGCATTCTGGATTAGACCAGTTGCGTGTCACTCAGCTCTAATGATAGTTCTCTAATTCTGCTAATTTCTCTTTTGTGGAGGTGCAGGAAGTAGGAGGCAATGTCTGTGATACAAGGTTGGATTCACAAAGCATGCTGGGTTCTGTGAACGTGAAAGGACCATGGCATTGAAGGTGGACTCCTAGGTGACAGGAGGGGCACGGGGAGGCCCTGTCAGTGGTGCTGGTGCACTTCCCAAGGCAGCAGCCACTGGACAGCACCCTGGTGGCCTTCACTAGGTGCTACCCTGCCCCCTTAAGGGAACGTCCCCCAATTGCTTGTGACTGGTATACAGCTTGACCTGTGCAGTTGGCAAGTTTTAGAGAATCCGTCACTAAACATGAGACGTTTTCCTTCCATGTGAGGCAACAAAATGTATCGGAGTTATCAAAAAGAATTTGCCACAGGGGCTGGGGTGATAGCTCCGTGGTCTAAGCACCTACCTGGCAAGTGCAAGGACCCAAAGCTAGGTGTAGTGGCACACACTGTAACCCCAGCACTGAGCAGACTGAGCCAGGAGGATCACTGTGAGTCCAAGTTGTGTAGTCAAACCCCATACCAAATAAATAAATAATGGGCCAGGGAGACAGCTCGGTAGGATAAGCGCTTGCCTGGCAAGTGAAAGGGCCTGAGTTCAATCCCCAGTTCTACCAAAAAAAAAAAAATACATAAGCCAAATAAATAAATAAAAAGTAAAAAAGAAAAAAAAAAAGAAAGAAAGAAAAGAAAAGCATTTGTCACAGGCTTGTGCCTGACACTGACCTTTTTCTTTAACTCTCTTCCCATCCCAAAGCAAAGAGCCCAGCCAGCAGCGAGTAAAACGATGGGGCTTCTCTTTTGATGAGATGTTGAAGGATCAGGTGGGACAGGACCAGTTCCTGCGATTCCTGGAGTCTGAATTCAGTTCAGAAAACCTCAGGTAAATCTCACCAAGGTGTAATGTGTATGCAGAATGTGCGTGAAGGAATTTGCAAAATCACTCTCCACCTGTTTCTCAACAAGAGATTGCTGGGGTTAAAATTCAAATTCTGGCTAATCTGGGTAAGGCTGAAATGAAGAAGAACAAATTAAGGTATGTAACTGTCACCTCTGCAGTAGCACCGGCACCAACATCGGCGTTCTTTTTTAGTTCTGTGAGTCTGAATGACATTTGTTCAACTACCTGGAAATACATCTTTGATAATAATTAAATAGTCAAATGGCTTTGATGACACCATTCATTAAATAAAGCCAGAGAACCGTGGACTCTCAGTTGAGCAGCTGCTCACAGCTCTCTTTCCTCAGACTTCCCGATCTGGGGCCCTGAAATTCTAACAGAGGAGACAGGAAAGAGATGTCAAGAGGCTCATCTCAGAACCAGAAAGCCATAGCAAATGCCATTCAGTAACTGGAGATGTGACAGTACAAGGTCTGACCTAACTGTATGGTGAATGTTTAAATTGGAAAATATTATTGCTACAAAACTACATCCAATGAATCCCCCTCAGAACACTCGCCTTTCCTTTGAGCACACTTATCCTATCATTCTTGCCCCTTTCTGGAGCACTTCTGGGAGTCCTCTTTCATGAATGTCTTTAAGAAGTGTGATAAAGACATACACAGTCGATGCTTCTGCCAGGGCCATCCAAGAGAAAGGCAAGGACCAGGGGGTTAGCGCAGTGGCAAGAGCGCCTGCCTTGCATGCACAAGGTCCTAAGTTCGATTCGCAGTGTAAGGAGGAAAGAGAATGGGGGGGCAGAGGGGAAAGGGGAGAAAGGGAGGGGAGGGGAGAGGGAAGAGAGGAGGGATGAGGGGGGAAGGGAGAGCGGAGAGGGGAGAGAGGAGAAGGCAGAGGGGAGGGAGGAGAGAGGAGAGAGAGTCACTTTGAGAGAGACCTCTGGTTTCTCCCACAAAGTAAGAAAGGACCAGGAAAACTGAGCATTTTGAATCGGTTCAGGACATTGAGTCAGCCAAGACCACACAACAAAAGATGCTTGCGAAAGAGACCTTCCAGAGCTTCTTGAGAAAATAGCAAGAGCCCTAAGTGTGTTCAAAGCAAAGGAACGTATTGTGAGGGGAGTTAATGCCAATGTGTATTTTACTGTAATCTGCTTTTAAAAATGTAAACATTCACCATACACTCCAGTCATACCATATTCAAGCTAATTAAAACGCTCCTTTCTTTCTTTCTTTCTTTCTTTCTTTCTTTCTTTCTTTCTTTCTTTCTTTTTTGTTATTGTTGTTTTTTGTTGGGAGAATTCTATTAGCCACAGGTGGTAATTACCCTAATTGTCTGATACCACAGAGAACATTTGATTGTTTCTGTTGATCAATAATGCTTTGGGGGCAAATATATTAATAATTACTATTTCATTGGGGGAAAACACTCAAAATATGGGGTCTAATATGAGAGGAAAAGGAGACACATTAAAGGAAAGGGTTCTTAGAAATTCCCTAATAAAAAAAAATATTAGGGAATTTCTGGTTTATTCAGTCATTTATTGTGTCAGATGAAAAGTTCGAGACTTACAGAGCTACGACTTATCTAAGACGTCCTCGAGATCCGAGCAGGGTAGCGACTGCCACGGATAAGTGGAAGGCACCCCCACCCCAGGCTGTCTTTGGTTTGCTGGATTAATTTCCATATCCTAGAGCTATTGTTTGAAAGTTTTAAATTTTTTTAACTTCAGAAATCAGATGCTAGCTGGGCATAGTGACACATTTCTGCATTCCCAGCACTTGGGAGACCGAGCTAGGAGGATTGCACGTTTGAGGGCTGTCTAAACCACATGGCAAGACCTTGTCTTAAAAAATGACAAAAGCGTCGCAGATACTTCAGGCAAAGCGCTCTCCTCTCCAATACTAATGTGCAAAATCCATGCTGTACATGTGAAGGCCAGGCCACTTCAATCCTGCGTGTCGATTGGGTGCTGTCTGTGACGACTCTCTGCAGTACCAAGCCCCACCCGTGTGGGCTGAGCGAGCCAGGACAGTCGAGATGCAGGATCGGCGCCTACAATAACTTCATAGGTCCTTGGGGTGAAACACAAGCAACAGTTCTGTAATGGGGTTTAAACGGGTATAAACTCAAAAACCATTTGCGAGTATTTACAGGAGAGAAGAATCAATGTTAAGCCGGGTTAGGCAAGGCATGAGCTTGACTTTTAGGCACACAGGAGACTGAGAGACAAAAAAGAGGCAGAGGAAATGTTCTAAGCTGGGAGGCTGAATTAGCCAAGGAGAGGGCATGACTGTCCCACTCCCAGGAAGCTATGTGGATCAGACAGCCGGCTGTGTGACACCTCTCTAGGCATCCCTGCGTCACGAAGAGCCAGGCAAGGTGGGGCATCTTATTTCAGGCTACAGGACAGAGCTAGGTGTTACGCTTACAGCACCCCAGAGCCTCCATCCAATTCCTAAGGAGGTCTTTGCTACAGAAGCCCGGGCCTCTAACTCTCTCCACTCGCATGGCACCCGGAGCAGCCTCCCCAGCTGTGTGGGAAGCAGGGCCCTTCATGGCCATCTTGAACCCCAGAAGGCTCCTCTGTGTGGCCAGTGCACCCCCAGGTTCCACACCTGTCACGGTCCCCAGAGCCACACCTAGGAGTCCTTCTCATCCCTGTCCCCTGAGGGTACCCAGCATGGAGTGGTAGGATAGCCCTCTTACCTGTTTCTCAGCCCATAAGTGAACTCAAGACGCTGTGCTACCTGTACTTTTGCAGGGCGTTTTCAGCACGACGCAGGGCCCAGGGCTGTCTGCTTGCCCTGGGTGCTGTTCCATCCACACTGGAGCAGTCATTCCACACACACATCAAGTCAGACGAGCTTCACAAAGTATGCACAACACTTGGGGCCCCAAGTGCGCAGAGGAGTGCAGCCCTGGCGGTGTGCAGCGGTTCCTCCTGCCAGTACAGCTTTCACCTCTCCCAGCCACTCCCCTGGTACCCAGAGGGCGACATTCCATCATGGGGGAGGGACTGTGTGTGCCTAGGTGGCATGCTGCCTCCAGCACGCGTGCATCAATCCAGAATTAGAGAGTTCCCCCTGATCCACAACAGGAAAGAGGATAAAGAAAATGGAATCGCCATAAGAGAAAGTGTAGCCCAAGAGCTGCTAGAATCCTCGCAGGAGCCCAAGTTCCATTTTTGTGGTGCTCAACATCAACGTACAGCAGCAAGCTATGTTTTAAATCCCACAACTTTAGGACCCTTTGGTCACCTGTCACAAAGTAGCTGCCTCCCTTTCCTCTGTGTTCATTCCTTTGGCCACAGATACTGGCTCAGTACCTGCTGTGCTCCAGGTCTCAGGGCCTCAGAGGTGGGGGACAATGCGGGGGCAGGCAGAGGCACTCCCCCACGGCCTCTGTGCCTCATGGCTCCTGAGTGTTATATGATGTGGTACAGTGTGAGGACCCTGACCAGCTAGTCAGATGCACGTCTCAGCGACCAAATACCGGCCAACTTTAGCCGAGAAGCCAGGCTGCTTTGGGCGCACACGTGCAGGCCAGGCTCCCTTGGCTCTGTTCCTGTTAAGCCCATGGCAAAGCCAAGACATCAAATAGTGGCCGGGAAGCGTGGTGGGAGACAGCTGTAGGCCTGAGAGGACCGGCCGAGGGCCAGCTCTGACCCCATGGTCACATCCTAGGGGCCCACTTCCCTCCAACAAGGTCCCACCCCCTCATTTCCATCCCCGCCCAACAACTCCATCGAATTATGATCTCTTCGATGGCAGGGTGCTTGAGCCCTCCTGGTCCACCTTCTGAAAGTGCCGCCTCTCAACATATGAGAGTGGGGGGCGGGTGATTTCATCCTACACCTTCTGCCCAGGGCTGATCAAGAGCCCAGGTCACGGGTGCCCAACAGAGGGAGGAAAGGAGAGGGTGAGCAGGCCCTCAGGTGACAGGAAGAGCATCTGGGACAGAGACCACCTCCTTCCTCTTTTCTAACCCACCCAGAGCTGGGTCCAGTGCTCCGTTCACACCAGCTGGGCCACAGAGACAGCTGTCTGCCAGGCACTGTTGGGGTCTCATTAGCTTCGCACCCCGCAGGCAGGAGCCTTGGAGTCCCGAAGCCGGGAGCGCCGTGGGGCCGGCAGCCTTGCCCTCCCTGCTCTGTCCACTTGCCAAGTGGTGCCAGTCACCCCTGCCCCTTGGCCTCACCTCCACCCAGTCTTCCCGGTGCAGCCCTCTACTCCCCACTTGACACTCCTGCTGCACGGCAGGGCATGAGTTAAAAATCAAAACCTGCAGCAAAGAGTGTCCCCGTCCATTTTTTATGAGCTGTAACGTCTCCAGAGAGGAGGTAGTTGTTCTTCGAACCTGCTGATTGATGATGTGAGCACCATGCCACGTCAGCTGAAGGGAGAAGCAACTAAAAGAGAGCATCGTGTGTGTTGGGGGTAGGGGTGCCAGGTTTGCCTGGAGAGCGCCATCCCAGTCTTGCCCCCCTCCTCAGAGGCCATGGAAGGTTCTAGAAGCCCTGTGGGGACCCCCCTCAAGCCAAACACATGATGAATCAGAAACGAGAAACCCCAAGGAGGTTGGGACAATCAGCAGCAGCTCCGCCACCGCCCAGGGCACAGAGCCCGGCCTGGGTGGTGCCAGTGGTGGGTGCAAAGGGAGGGACCCCAGAACTGCAGCCCAAGCAGGCGTCAAGTTCAGGCTATTGTTCTGAGTCTCTGGTTGACCAGTAGAGGGCACACGAGCACTTTCTTCTGCCGTGGAGTTTGCTTTTCTCTGGCAGTGAACCCAAAGCTGCACTCTCCAACTGTGAAGATCCTAGTTTGTGAAAAGATGCGTAAGATGAGGGGCTCCCCCGAGCTCCCGGAAGCTGGCAAACCACGCGTGGCTCACGACCTCCCTCCCTCCGACCGGCCTCAAGGAGCAAACCTCAGCATCAGGGAGAAATGAGAGGACCCGAGGCCGCCCGGGTCGCCCCGAGTGCCTCCACTGCCCACCGCCTGGCTGTGCTCTGTGCTCTCGGAGTGTCGCCGGCCCCCTCGAGCCCAGCCGCCTGCCTGCCTTCCTTTCCAAGCTGTCGCCGCGGGCGCGGGGCTGCCTGCTCCCGCTGCTGCTGCCGATGGGCCGCACCTCGCGGGGAGGCAGGACAGGTGGTCTCCCCAAGACTCTGGGGCCTGCCAGTCCCTGGGCCCCTCTGCAGCCAGTGTGGGGCTTAGTGCAGGATGGGTGAATCTGAGTGCTGCTGGCGTTTGGCTCGCGTGTCCCCAGAGGAGCAGGCTTTCGATAAGAGCGGCAGCTTTGCAGCCTTCAGCGGCCTCCCTTCTGCGGTGGGCGGCGTGCAGAGCCGCTCTGTGGCTGCCCGGTGGGGGGCTCCGAGGCCTGAGCTCCTTGGGGCTGGAAGGCGGCAAGCAGGAGCTGCAGCCTGTTCTGCATTTCAAATTGACACGAGGGTTGTCCGAAGCTGTGAAGCTGTGGTAGCACACACGGTGGGATGTCAGGAGGCTGTTGTGACAGCACTTTGGCTATCACCTCCGAGGGACGAGGCAGGTCATCTCTGAGGCTGACAGAAGGCTGGGCTGAGTCCCATGTGTGCAGGAGAAACTGCTGTAGAGGGCAAGGCCCTGCCCCTCCCTCCTCCTCTCCCTCTCTCCTCCTCTACCCTACTCCTCCCCCACTCCCCTCCTCTCCCTATACCCCTCCTCTCCCCAGCTGCACTCTCCTCCTGTCCCTCCCTCCCCCTCTCTCCCTCTCCTCTCCTGCCCTACTCCTCCCTCCCCTGCCCTCCTCTCCCCACCCCTCCCCTGCTCTCCCCTTCTCTCAGCCTCCCCTCCCCATCACACTCTCCTCCTGCCCTCCCGGTCCACTCTCCCCTTCCTCCCCTGCCCTACTCCCCTCTCCCCTCCCCTCCTCCAGCCCTGTCCCTTCCCCTCCCCTGTTCTTCCCCACCCTGCTCTTCTCTCCCCTCCCCTCTCTTCCTCTCCTCTACCCTCCTCCTCCTCTCCCCCACTCCCTGTTACCCCTCCCCTGACCTGCCTATTGTTTCCCCTAGTGCTTTTTCTTATCTTGGATTTTTCTGATGAAGGGAACCTTTTCCTGAGAAAGTTTATCAAATTCATTTCTGAAGTTTGCATGGACATCAGCTCCAGACTCTCTAGGGCCAGTAGAGTGGTGTGCAGGAATGTGGCTCCGGATCCTTCTACCAAGGCAATCTGGAAGCCTCGGGAACCGCAAGGTCTCTGTGGCGCCCAGAAGCTGCAGGCCTTTAGGGTGTCCCACAGGGGCGCAGGGACTGGAGAATTGCTCAGAGCTCACTGGAGCAAGGGGCAGAGATGACAGAAGGTGACTGGCCCTCCTGATAGTGAGGGGGAAGGCTGCAAATCACCCATGTGTCATCTGTTTGAGTGAGAAATCACAGGCCCCTCCATGGCTAGGAAGGACGCCGGCCCAGGGAGCTCCCTGCAGCCGGGGATTCGGCCCCTCAGAGGCAACTCCTGAGCAGGGGCTGGGAAAGACCGTGACTTGGGCTTCATCAGTGACCCCTTAGCAGTGCTTTGGTCACTTTGGTCATCCTTTCTGCAGGGCTGGGCTTGCAACATTGTCCACCTGCCAGTCAGCTGGGTCCCACAGGGAGAAAACACCCTGCAAGTCTCTCCTTGTCAGATGACCCCCCCACACACACACACACACCTCTCACCTCACAGCAGACCTTGCAGGCAGGCAGAGAGCCCTGAGGACACCAGGGAAGGGGCCAAGGGGTGGGGGTGGGGGAGAATGACACTCCTTGCGAAGCCCCCAGGACTCCGAGTAAAGAATCACTCCTGTTCCCCTCACCCCTGACAGCCTGGAGGCCAGAAGCCCCAGGACCCGCAGCAGAAATGAGGAGGGCTGGGGCTAAAGGACAGTGATGAGGTTGGCAAGAGCCCTGGTCGCTGCTGCCCCACCACCAGGGGTGAGAGCTGAAACTGGAGGGGCAACAGGCGCAGCGTTGGCTGCCACTCAGCTGTGCCCCTCCACTCCTACCCCGGGGCATTTCAGAGTCGAGCACGGAGGGAAAGTGCTTCAGAACTGTGTTGTAGCTCCCTCCACCCACGCTGCGGCTGTTTCTCTGGTGAAGAAAGATGCACCCAAAAGGCACAGCAGTTCTGGGGAACACGAGCCCAGCCCGCACGAGGACAGGGCACGCGCCTGCCCTTCTGACCACTTGCTCCTTCCTCGCCTTTCTGTCCGAGATCACTGAGGGCACCATGTGCGTTTTCCTCAGCACGATCGTTAGAACCCTAAGTGGCACAGCAGAGGCAAAGCTGGAGCGCAGTGTTTCAGAAGCGAACACCTGGCACCCCTTTCCCTGAAAAAAATGAGGCTACATTGCCAAAGGCTGCCGCTGAGTGGCGCCTTTGAGCCATGCTCGTGGCTCCACAGATCCTGAAGAGCAACAGAAAAACGTGCTTAATTCCCCCCCACACACAGTCAAACAAACAAAACAAGTACATCTTACTTTGGGTGAAATCTGATGCTAGATTTAATGCATTTTTCACTGTGTCGTGGCTGAGCCCCTCCGTTGACTGGATTACAGGTGCTGTCCCTGAGACAGTGGGGTCCCCCACCTTACTGGGCACCTGGCCTGGCGCCTGCCCTGCAGCTGCCGTGTCCCGCGCCCAGAGGCTGCCGTCCTCGGGATGCGGAGCTGCTCTTCGGGCTTTGGCTCACTTCGCTGCTGCCTTTAGCAGAAAAGCGCTCCTGGATGGCTCTGCCAAGGGCAGCCTCCCTGCGGATCCGGATCCTGGATCCCGAGGGACTGTGGAGAGGCAAGCGGGAGTAAGCGAAAGGCTTTCTCTCTGGCACTCCCTGGGAAGTTACCCCGCCTATGCCCATTGCTGTGCTCCAGATAAGCCCGCTGCCATGTCACTGTCACTTACTGCGCGCTGCTGTGTGCCGAGCACCGTGCTGAGTGCTGACGCGCGGACACCTGCTCCCTCCGCCTCTGACGTGAAGGGCTTGTTCACTCCGCCCAGCCGTTCCTTAGGGTTCTAGGACGCCACCTGCCCCTGTGGTCTTCGCCCCCTTTTCATAGCTGTGGTTGAGCCCCCAGCCAAAAGTGGCAAGGGGCTCATGCTGTGTAGACCACAGTGGGTCTCAAGTGGGGGATTTTGCCCTCTGGGGAAACACTGGGTTGCTGTCACTTGGCTCTGGACATCTAGTTGGGTGGAGGCCAAAGTTGCTGCCTAACCTCCCGCATGCCACAGCAGTCCCCACCCCGCACCCACCCTCACCCACAAAAAGTCACCCAGCCAGAAATGACAATAGTGCTGAGGCTGAGACACCTCAAGGAGAGGGACAGAATGCTCCTGTTGGTCACCCTTTGATCTTTCAACACGGCTCCCATTCCTGTCCCTCACAGTCAGGAAACAGTTTGTCCTTTCTGCTGTCCCCAGGGCCTTTGTGACCCTCCTAATGGCACGGGGAAGGCTGAGGAGGGCACAGGGTGATGAAGGTAATGCGTGAGCTCTGGGACCATCTCTAGCAGGGGTCAGACAGAACTGACTGACTGTGCTTCCACTTCAGGTTCTGGCTGGCCGTCCAAGAGCTCAAGAAACAACCCCTACAGGATGTGGCCAAGAGGGTGGAAGAAATCTGGCAAGAGTTTTTAGCCCCGGGGGCCCAGAGTGCAATCAACTTGGACTCTCACAGCTACGAGATAACCAGTCAAAATGTCAAAGATGGAGGGAGATACACGTTTGAAGATGCCCAGGTTTGCTTTCCCACGCAAATGGTCAGGCTACACCGTGCTCTTCCATCCACTTCATTGCTCGTACTCTAACAGCAGTCCAAGGCATGATGGGTAGCTAGAATTTCAGATTTCATTATTTATAAATCAATTAACAGAAAGTATTCCAGATGGGTGTACAATGAAACTTCGATATGGTTTTCCTAAGTTAGTTCACTTTACCACATAGAAGCAGTAATTTGTAGTCACAAATGGTCCTCAACTTATGGTGGATGCACTTGGGTCCTAATAAACCCACTGTAAGTTTAGATGTTTCCTGCTGCAGAGGCATCTAATGCCTAGCAAAGCTTAGCATACTCGGCGCCGTGTTAAGTTCCATTTGTTTCCATACCCAAGCATGGCTGGCTACGAGACATAGCTCCCTACTGCCTAGCACCTCCAGAGAGGCTCACTCTGCACATCTCAAACCCAGGAAGAGATCCCAATTCAAAGTACAGCTTCTACCAAATGCCTAGCCTGTGTGCACCATTGTAAAGTTAAAAAATCATAAGATGAAGGCTGTCTTGGATTTAGCTTTTCCGTGAACATCTCAACATGTCCTACAAAACCTGAAGTCTTGCGATAGGTCAGTAGTAGGTGCTGGAAACCATAATTCAACATTCGTGGGTACAGTGAGCTGGCAGGCCCTCATGTCAGCCCCACATCTGTCTAACTGTGACGTCCACACTTACCACCAGCCCTCTGCACCGCTCCCTTAGCAATTCCTTCCAGCTATGGCCCTTCTGTGTGCCAGGCCCTGGGCCATGCAGTGGGACACCATGAAGAACAGACCAAAGCCCTTGTGCTGCACAGGTTGTGCCTGACTAAGTGAACTCTAGGCCTAAAGCAGGTTAGGACAATTACAGATGCTTATGGAGCTGGCAAAACAACAGGAGCCACAGAAGCTACCCAAACAGCAGGCTTCATCTAGATGCCTGGTCGGTGCTAGTTCTAAAGATAGCCATCAGATAGATCGGTTTCTTACTTCCTGTCCCCTGATTTTCACATCTTCCCACAGTCACATGCTCAGGGACAGGATGATAGAGTTTAACCCAACTGCTCATTTCTCTCACCTACAGTCACCCCTGAAGAATGTGGGTGGCTTTCTCACCCGCAGACATTATTATCCAACCTTAGATACTTCATGTAGCTTTGCCAGTGCAAATGATGGCCTGGGTGCACAGCCAGGGTCCCTCGTCGGGTGTGCAGCACCTCAGCATGGAAACCTCACCACCCGGCACGCCTTCCCTACCTCTTCTCTCCCCAGTTGTGGATTCATGAGATGACTGCCTCTGCTGGGCAGATTCAGTGTCTGTCTTATGAAATAACAAAGTCTTGGGCAGCTTTGGAGCCAAGTGACTAAGCTGTGAGAACTCTTTCCTTCTGACACGTTTCCATGTCTGTGATGTATATGCCCCCCGAGTACTGTATGACATGGCCCAAAGAGAGACACGGGCAGCTCCATCCTGGGTGGATGCTCAGCTCTCCCTCACTCAAGGGGCACCAGCAAAGAAATGCCAGACGGAGCCGTGATGTCCGCAGCCAGAATCACTGCTCAGAACCAACGTGTTTTAATCTCCTCTTATTGTGGAAATTTTTAGACATAGCAACATGGGCAGGGCAAAATCACAAACTTTCATGCCCTCATCCAACTCAGCTACCATCGGTGCATAACTTTGCTCCTTTTATTTACCTCCCCACAGACCTATCCACCAGGTTATGCACCTGTCCCTTTATTTTTAACATTACCACAACACCACTATCATAGCTTAGTGACATCAAGTGTCAAACAAGTGCTCAAACTTATAACAGTTCCATAAATACCTTTAAAAAATCTTTATTTAAAATCAGAATCCAGGTAAGTTGCACACATTGCAGTCAATTGACATGTAAGTGTTCTTTAATCTAGAGTTCCCTGCATCTCTCCTCCCTCCCTTTCCCCCACTCCAGGCAATATGTTTGTTGAAATAATTGGATCCTCTATCCCGCGAAGTTTTCACAGACTGTGATGTTCTGGTTACAGCTCTGTGGTGCTGTTTAACATGTTTGCATATCAGCTGCATTTCCTATACATTGTTCGCTTGGTTTAGACATTTAATTGGATTTAGGTTTGATTTTCGTGGCCAAAGCTACTTTGCGGATCTAGCTGTGATTCTTTTCAGAAGGCGTGTGACATCTAGATGTCTCTTCGTGTGATTTTTGACAGGGGCTGGTGTTCATTACTTAGACCCATTAGTTAGTTAGGGGCGACAGAAAGATGACACTCTCACTTCATGGTTCTCACTTCATTTATTAGCTGGAATTCTTCCGTAAGGAAACACGTCTCTCCACTGCTATTTGACTAGTGGTACAATTCATAGCAGTAAGGTGGATGACTTTTGATTCTTTCCTTTTACCACGTTTGCTAATTTTGGATGTGAAGAGTGATTTACTGTCATCTTTCTGACCTGTTAGAGATTTTTGTTTTTTAAAATAACTTAAACTTATGAATTTAAGCCTACTTGATGAGCTTTAGTGTCTTTTACTTATTACATTTATTGATGCTTGGATTGTGCTAACTCTAGGCGGTTGATCACTTCTGTCTCTGATGTGACCCAAAACAGCAAGGAGACTAAACATTCAGGTTCTGCCAGAGACCCACAGGAGCCATTTCTCAAAGGTCCCCCAGCTTCTCTTAGGGGACATGGGTTTTAGAGACTACAATCTGAATGCTAAGGAGTGCTCATTTTTCTTGGGTTTTATTCATCATTTTCAGAGAATAGTATTTCCGATTCAAATTCAAGAACAAGGGATTTTACTTAACTTCTTCCTTTTTTTTAATTTTATATTTGTTTTTTGGTGGAATCAGGGATTGAACTCAGACCCTTGAGCTTGCCAGGGAAGTGCTTATTCCACTGAGCCATCTCCCCGGGCCCTACTTAACTTCTTAGTTCTTTTTTTTCAGTACCAGGGATCAAATTTGGGACCTTGCACTTGCCAGGCAGGCCCTCGGGCCACTGAGCTATTTCCTGGCCCAACTTCTTCATTCTTATATCTGTGCCTCCTTTCTCTATGCCAAGAATCTGGTGATAACATGGCTCTTCATTTTCTCCCTTGCGCCTTACACAGAGCAGTCTGAATGCCACAGCAACAATGCTGGGACAGCAGCGTGATTGTCACCTGACTCTTTACCGGATGCATAGTGCTCCACTGTGCAGAGGCTGCACAGTTCAGGCAACCGGTCCTCCCTTCTTGGACACTTGCGTTGCTCTTAGCTCAAGGAAGACCTGACGGGAGAATGTGAAAAGCTAGCACACTGCGCCTCACAAGGCTTTGAACTCCCGCCTCCGCCAGGCTGCAGTTTTTCAGGCGCTTTTGTGCTCGTTACCTCCATATGCACAGCGGTGCAGTGATGTGCATCAGACTTGGAATCCGCATAGCCGTTTCTCCTCCTCTTCTGCTAGGGTTAGTTTCCGTGAACTCAAATAGAACACTCTTCCGCAACCAGCTCCTATTCTCATCCTGTTCGCTGTTGCTTCTTCGGCGAGTTTCTGCCAGTGCTGTACAAAGTGCTTCTTACTAGCAGAGCGACCTCGGGCAGGCTATTGACGCTCTCTCTCCTCCTCTGGAGAGCAGTCACAGTGGAACTATGTGTGACTGCAGTAGGACCACGTGAAATGAATCGTGTCGACCACGGTGGCTGGCCCGCAGCAAGGGAAACACTTCCGATTTTATCTTCCTGAGGCCAGTTATATTCTTTTATGTTTAACCCGTTCGATAAAACATTGAAGTAAGTGCATGTATTATTGTCACCCGTGACCACCCTGCTCTGGTACACAGCTATTTATTGACTTACAATGGGGCTGTGTCACCCATGACCACCCCTGCTCTGGTACACAGCTATTTATTGACTTACAATGGGGCTATTTATAAATAGCTGTGTGGGTACACAGCTATTTATTGACTTTCATGGTGAATTGAAAATTAAAAATACATTCACTACATGTACGCTACCAAACGCTGCAGCTCACCAACACCAAAACTGCAGAGTATCAGCTCCTTCTCCTCGTGGCGGAGTAGCTGAGTTGGAACCGTGGTTTGCTTTTGCTGCCCAGCCCCACTAAAGAGTACTGTACTATGAATGGCTAGCCCCCCAAAAAAACCCTAAAATCCAAAGTTCAAAGCATGGCTCCTATTGAATGCGGATAGCTTTTATACTACCAGAAAGTCAAAACATTTTAAGTTGAACTGTCGTTCCTGAGTCGGAGGCCACGTGCATCTTTGCTTTGCGGGTGTAGGTGCGTGGTAGGTCTGCGCATACTGCTATACAGAGTGCCACAGCGCAGGAGGCATAAGCAACAGCTGTTCCTCCATCGCAGGTCCAGAGGCTGGGGAGCCCAGAGTGTGTTGTCAGCGTGTTCAGTTCCTGGTAAGGGTCTCTCTTCTGGCTTGTAGAAGCCACGTTCTTGCTGTGCCCCCTCATGGCAGGAGAGCCTAGTCTGCCCTTCTCCTTTGCAGGAGCACCTACCCCAGCCTGGGGCCCCATCCTCCTGATGTCTTGCAAAGCCCCTGACACCGTCACGTGGAAGCTGGAAGTTAGGCCTTCCGCAGTCTGAACCTGAGGGCAACAGTAGTCCATACCAGGGTGACTGCAAAACAAAGTGATTGTGCCTCTTCCATTAAACCAGGGCAGTTAGGAAGTGAAACTTTATCTGTGAAGGGCCAGATCATATAAATTTTAGGTTTCACAAGTCATGTGAGTTGAATCACATGATCATGTCCACAGCCACTGGATTCTGCCACACTGAGTCACATGATCA